ATGGAAGCAGCTTCCACAATGGCACGTGCCTACTCAACAACGTTGACTCAGTGCATTCTCGCATTCTCCTTCAATTGCTGCGCACGCGTACGCGCGCACTGCGCTGGATGAAAACGCCAGCTGGGTCGCTATGAGCAGTTCAGAGAACTTCGGCCGCGGCGCCTGCCCACTGGCGTCTGCCTGGCGAAGACAGACCTGGACTTCCTTGCCGAGACCTTGGTCGGAACCCGAGCCATTGCAAGCTTTATGTGCTGTGATGTGCCACGAAGTGCCGTGCATCAGATTCTGTCTTTTCGGGGCACTGCCGACTCCCAGCGTTTTGGCAACCTTTCTTGTCAGCATGGGGTGCTTCGCGAAACGAATCAGAGTAAGTATGTCTTGTTTGCAAACACAATGCTTGTAAGGCCTGCCTCGACAGGACTCGCATGTGCTTTGCAGCTGTGTTTTCTGTTGGCAAGGTCGCACGGCTTGAAAAGCAAGTGCACTCCCACAGCCCCCTGGACTCTTTAAAAGCAGAGGTGAACACACGAAGACTTTGAAGAAACAGACAAGAAGCTGGCAGAGCATCCAACCAAACGAACTAAAAAAAGGGAGAAGACATGATGCCCACTAAAGCGCGGGCACTCGCAATTATTTCCCATCCATCATCGCTTCATCGCTGTTGCTTCCGTGCTTTCCGGCGCTGCGACCCATTCCAACGCATCATGTACATTGGTCTAGAGGACTACCCACAGAGGCATTTTGTCTGAGGAGAAGCCGCAAGAATAGCCGACGGGAGGACCTGCTGACAGAATTCACACTCGTTGAAGATGTGCTAAAAAGGTTCAGGAAGGGTGGTGTCCACGAAAGGCGCAAAGGCAGCTTTAGCTGGGCCCATAAGTTGGTCAGAATGTGTTTTCCATATTGATGTATTTTGTATGGATGCAGAGGTGGCACATGATTTGCTGATGTTGACTCCTTCAATTGTCCTGTCGGGCTCTCTGTTCTTTCTTCTCGTTCTATCCTGCACTTCATCCTTCCATTCCGTCATTCCGTCTTTCCGTCTTTCCAGCGCTTCCCTTGGTACGACCCCACCGCCCAAAGCATGGTGTAAAGCGCCGAGAAAAATGTCCGAAATACATACAGGGCCAGCAAAAGTGTGTGCAACACAAGGGCAGGAAGCAACAAGAAGAAAAGACAAGAAAGAAAAAAGGAAGAAGTCAAAGGCAATGAAAGACGTTGCGAGACACGCAAATGGCAAAAAAACAACAAAAGGCTGAGGAGGAAAAGCCCGGAAAGGAAGGAAAGGAAGAAAAGGAGGAATGCAAAGAACAAGAAGGCAAAGACAATGAAAGGCAAGAAGAGACACGCAAAAAAGTTAAATCAAAAAGGAAAGTGAAAAGCTAAAAGCAAGAAACCAAAAGTTATGAAAGATAGTAAGAGGCAGGCAGAGGTACAAAAGCAAAGCCATGAAGCAAGAAGCGAACACAAAACAACACAAGAAGAGAAGAGCAAGAAGGCCAAGGAAATGAAAGGCAGTAGGAGACAAGCAACGAAATCCACCATGAGAACGGGTAGACCAAAAAATTACAGGGGAGGCACAGGAATGAAAGCAACAAGCAGTAAAATACAAATAAAACAGATTCATATAAAACAAAGGTGATTACGCGCTTTAGTCTCTATCTTGCACTCAAAACAGCGTCCACAAAGACAAGGTGTCCACGCCACGCCTCTCCAGCAATGCGCTTGGCTCCAAGCGCTGCCAAGTTGGCCTCAGCTCGATTACAGAAACTGCTGCTGGAGCTGTTGAACTGGTGAGGAGGGCCATGAACGACTTTTACATCCAGGCCTTTCATTGCCACTATTTTGTGAAGCCGTACAGATCTGCACATCCACCCGGCCATGCAGAAAGCAAGTGCCAATGTCAGCTCCACACAGTGACTTCGACTTCAGCAGCAACGTCTGTGGACAGCCGGCCAAATGCTACCAGCAGCTCCTGCATCCAAACTGCTTTCCTCCACAAAATGTCGCAAGCTAGCCGACTCTGGAGGACTCCTCGTCCTCCCGTTGGAGCTGCAGAGGCTCTAGCTGACCCAAGTAATATGCCTCGAATACAGAAGAAGGCAGAAACCAATGACAAAAATGCAAAAGTACGCTGCTTGCCTTGGTTTACATAACAACAACAGTGCCTCACAAAGATGCCGAAGTAGTTCGCCCGAGTGGGCCAGGCCTTTTGACCATGCAAGACGGACTTCTGCCTTCTGCCCAACGCTGCCTACAAACCTGCACCAAGGTTTGAGCACGGGAGCGGGTCACGCGACAGCGCAAGACCTCAGCATTTGTGCCACTTCGCTCAGCAGAGTGCTGGTAACTAAAAACTCCGTGCGCGCCTTTGCAGCCGCCATATTCCAGACCAATTGCAAACTTGTGGCTGTAAGGATCCGTCGCTGCAGCTGGGACAGGTTTGAAGCATCCAGCCTGCTTTGAAGCAGGCTCATCACAGGTTACTTTAAGCCCAAACAGACTAATGGCAGTCAACATGCTCTGAACATGCGCCTTAACATCTGTTGCGTGCTCGGCTTGTTCAAAGACAATACGGAGGTCAGGAGAGAGACCTCAAGCGGTAGAGAGACCACCTTCACCGCGCGTGCATGTGGCCTAACCCATGACACTCCCATGAGGCAGGGGCTGGCACTGAGCGGTGCACCTCAGGTGAAGCTACGACATGCAATGCATGCGACAATGACTGGTACCAATCGGCAAGAACATGGCAGCCCCTGGGCACAAAACTGCAGGTAAGCGTTGTAGAAGGCGCCTCTTGAATTCCATCCTGGCTGACAAGGGAACAGCAAATTCTGCACCCAAAACGACTCCTGCAACAGAACTGGCTTCTCGCAGCTGAGGCAAGGTCGGCACAGACCCTAGCATGGCCTCGCCAATTGCACAAGTGTTGGCATGTGTGTGTGTGCCATCATGGGCCATCATGTTGATTGGCGGATATTGGCGGGGCACCTGGTGCATGTGTAATCACATGTACTACCTGAACACGACAGGCAGCCTCCCAGATACCAGGACTTTTGAGACGCTTGCTTTCGAATTCGTGTTTGAATCTACGAGTGAGGAACGCGATACCTTTTGGTATTCAGGCTGTTGGTCTTCCCGACGGGTGCTTTGGAAGCCGCACCATCGAAAACACCATAGCCGTAGATGGCGCTGAGCTTACTGAGATTGCATGAAGATTGCATGCTTCCCAAGGCTTTGCGGTGAGGCGTTCCCGTGGTCCTGAGCCTGTTGGCTCATGCCATGGAGGCTCTAGGTGACACGCCACTCGACACCGGGCTTGGGATTGCTTTAACGAACAATGGCTCTATGGCTGTGTGCTCTCAATTCTTGTGTCCTCTTCCAAGGCCGATGAGGGCTTGGTAGATATGGTCCTGTCGCGGACAGCTCTCTTTGCAGTCCTAAAGCCTAGCTGACCAGCGTCTAGTTTCAGCCATTTCGGCTGAGTTCAGCTGAGAGCGTGGGAGCGGCTCGACTTGGATTGTTAGCCTTCCCGAATCTTCTGCTTTAATCTTCTACAGTCCTGAGAGTCTTGTTCGTTAGGCCTTGGCTCCATTGCTCTTGCTAGGACAAAGTGGAAGACCTACGCCAAGAATCGCACAATACTATCCAAGATCATATCGAAAGCATCTTTCTTGCCAAGCCCTGGACCGGCGAAAGTTTAAGGTCAGAGAAGGTTAGAGAAAACCACTCCACTAAACCGACGCATGACCGGCATATGCCGACCTCTACCGGCGTCGCTGAGCTAAGAGGTGCGGAGGCTTTGCCGGGTACAGGGTCTTGGCCGTTTCGGGGTGAATCAATGAGGGCTGGCCGTGCGGGGCGATATTGCCCGACTCGCGTTTGGGCTCTGCCTCTCATGTTGAGCTAGCCATACTGGATTGAAGCCGGTGAACAAGGTCGCACACTTCACAGCCTATCCGACCGCCGTTGCCTCAGTAGTTCAGCAAAGGAGACTAAGGAGGACGGCCAAACAGAAAGCACACAAAGGAAACCTAGACATGCCTTTGTGTTGTGCCCAGGAACTTGCTTCCTCATCTTGTCCTGAGCTCTGGTGTTGAAGCGCTAGTGCGAAAGGCTGACCACTGCTGTATCAATCAATCCCACCCAGCACACACGTGCAACTTCGGATGCCTACAACGACTCGCCACCATGTCAGGCTGTAGCTGCAGGCAAAGGCACGGCCTTGTAATCCCGGGCATATTGGAGCTTGCACTCGCGAGCACTATAACGTCCGCCCATCTCCCGGCTCACCTCCATCACAAGTTCTGTCAGATTCTATCAAGTTCTGGTCACACTGGTCGACGACTCTGAAGTCTGAATACCGGCATGCCTGAAGCCAGATTTGCTCCTTGTCAGATGTACCAGACCGGACCACACGCTTGACCTTGGACACGGCTCGAGCATCTGCACAAAACAGCCTCGCCATGGTCTAAAACGACTGCAGCAAAGACACCAGGCGCCGGAGCTCCAAACACTCATCAGGGCTCCATGGCAAGACAGGTTCTGTCTCCTGAAACTCTTCGGCAAGCGCAGAACAATGTGCTCGCAGGGCGCTTGCAAGGCGTTTCATTCAAAGGCCCGAGCCAGGCCCAGACTCAGAGGAGGTGGCGGCGCTGAAAGACGTGCAGAACTTGGCGCCAAGTCCTCACCTTTGCAGGGAACAGCAGCCTCCCGTGGGCCAACATTGCCACAAGCTGTGGCCGAACCTTGCCCAACACCTGACAACTCAGATCGGCACCAACTCCCAAGTCTGCCAGGTCGTTCAGCAAGGCATCCATGATGTCACCTTGACGGTCACTGTTTATGATAGTCATGATCGACACCGAAGGACATGGTGCTGTCTTTGCGCGAAGCGAACATCCGGCCTCGTGAATCAGGCGATGCTGCACGCGAGTTGGCCAGGGATGTACTGCCCATGTGCAGTGGTGGTATGTCTGGGAAGCCTTCCGACAAACATCGAACCCTCAGGTCGAGTTGAGCAAGACAGCAACACAAAGTGAAAGGGCTGCTTTCGCCTGCACGCTCGCGTTCTACACCTTGGTGCAAAGAGCTGCTGCGTAGAGTGGCAGCATCAGGGACATGGACAGAGGATGCCTAGAGTGCGACAACGACCGTGCACGAGGGACGAGGAAAGCTCTGGGGCCGGTGCTCACGGTCTCTGGCATTGGGCTGGCTTCTGGCTCCAAGATAAAGCTGTCCTTGAATCACATAAAACGATATAAAACGTTCAAGACTTGGCAACAGTTTTGGGCATCACGGAAACACCAGACTCGACAGAGCAAGGAGCATTGCTGCCAGCAGCACGCAGCGCAAAGTCTTGGGGATCTATCAGCTCAGGATCTGCCTGACAGGGGCTTGCTTCTATCCCGGCTGAAACTACGGGATGTGCATCTGTCTGCAGATGAAGAGACGACTCAAAGACGCTTCAGATTGCCTCGACAGACCTGCGCGGCGCATCTCCAAGGATCCTGAGAAAAGCACCAAAGGCGCAGTTACTTGACTTTCTGAGCAAGCTCTAAATTGACATCGTTGGAGTTCAGCGCATGACTTGTCTAACTCCGCATCCAGATCCACATCATCCACGCAAACCTGCACTCACTCACTCTTCCTGCGTGCCAATGCACTCCAGCTTCATGTGTACTGACGTCCAAGCAAAGTGGAAAGTGTTGCCTCACTCTTTGGGCGGCTGGGTGGTGGAGCTGGTGCTGGCGGAGGCAAAACTGGAGTCTCAGGCCGGGAAGCCTTGGGCAAAGGGCACCCTCTCACGATGGCAACGAAGCTGTAGCCTCCTGCTTGCCAGGCCTGCGCCGTGCCGCCAGACGCGGTTGGAGGTGCCTCCAGGCAGGAGAGTCTTTGTCCATTGGGTTTCGCCTTCCTTGCATCAAGCCGAGGCAAACCTGCCTCATTCATCTGGAAAGAGTGGCGAGAATCGCACCGCTCTTGCAAGTACGCTGCGAGCGCAGCAGCAGAATTCCCGCCCTGAGGATGCCAGGCACTGAACTCTTGTGCCTGCCCCCTCTTAAAAAAGGCCGGCATGCAGGTCCATAACCCCGCACATGGGCAGCTTCAGCATTAAATCGCAGCCACTGTTTGCAGGTGCCACTGCAGGAGCGAGACGAAACATGTGCGAAGATTCTGCTGCCAGGTTGCCGAGGAGCGACTGGTGTCCAGTCGGTCCAGGTCCAAGGGAGGAAGCACGGAGAAGTAGTTGTGCTCTAACACCTGCATGTGACCAGGTCCACTGCTACAACCGGCACCCAGCAAAGACAGTCGTCTCAGGCGCCTTTCTCGCCATGGGTCGCCGCCGCGGGTTGAGGAGGAGGATCTCTGAAAGGATCGCAATTGCACCTGGATCTATTCGGCTTCGACCGTGGAAGAACGAAACTCTAAACACCATAAATTACCAACAGCCGTACGAATAGTCACTTGAGGAGGTGGCGGCTGGAAGCTCGAGGAATCACAGACCTTGGCATATTCAGCCCTAAGCACTTTCGACCAGATCCCATGTAGTTTCAGAACAAAATAAACTACGTGCACCTATGGTCCTATAGTTTTTGCTGCGTGCACACGTACATAATGATGTCACCCTGTCAAGCTTGTGCGCACTGCATCCCCGTATGTGGGTGGATTACCCCACCGGGAGTGTCAAAGGGCAACAGGTACAAAGCAAGCACAAAACTAAGCTTCAGCCCTGTAGGCAGCAAAACACTCTTGGACGGTATGCCCTGGATTCAACGGCTGGTGTGTTGCACACCAAGATGGAGCCCCAATTCTCACCTCTACGCTGCTCTTCACTCTTCCGAGAAGTTGAATCATGTCGCGGCAACTCTGCCGGTGCAGCACAGTCGCTGCCGTCACACTTCTCACTGTTGTGTTGGTTGGATGTCAAGCTTGTGTTGGTGAAGATGGCCGAAGATTGGGCTTCACCCTGTGCCAGCACCATCTGCTTGTGGAGCAAACCCTCTTGTGCATACATCCAGCATCCCAAACACCCGATGGCCCAGATCTCTGAGTGTCAGGCTGCAGCCCAGCACCTGAAGATGATGGCACTCGAAAGCGGCAGGCCTCTGCTAGCCTTGTGAATTCCTGAGCTAACAGCAAGAACAACCCAGTGGCAGCCCAGCAAACTCACAGGCAATTGCGTGGAAATTTGCTAAGTCTGTGTCCGGCCAATCGGAGATCGGCTGCCCAAGCACCTTGACACACGATGTGAATTTTGACTGGGGCACGTGGCAATGGCGCTCTAGCATGACCGAAAACAAATCGTCGCATGCCAGTGCTGCCAAGCCGCCGAGAAGATCTTGTACAGCTGGTCCATGCTCGAGGAGCCCATGAACACAGGCGAACCCCGCAAGAGCTCTGCGAACACCAGTCCTGACGACCAAACATCCTGGGCACAGGTGGATTTACGAGCTCGGGCCAACAGTCTTCTCCGTTCAACCAGTGCAATGGCGGCATGTGAGAAAGCCTCCGTGCAGGCATGAAGCTACTGGCGAAGAGTAGCCGCGGTCCCTGAGCAAACACTCCGGAGCTCGGTACCAGCGTGTGCCCACGTAGTCCGTAAAAGGTGGCCTCCCGCAAGTGGATCTGTTCCGCACGCCTTGTGCCCAGAAGAGTTCTGCTACTCCGACTGCTACTCCCACCGGCCTTGCTCGGAGAGATCTGGACTCGCCGAAATCAGCAATTCGAACGACTTCCCTCTTTGTTTCATAGAGAACATTCTCGGGCTTTATGTCTCCTCAAATCAGAAAAGAAAACTGAAGACAGCTTCTTCATGAGGCTTTGTGAAACACAAGCAGATGTCAGCCAAAGTCATATCTCTACACCAAGCCGCGGTGAAAGAAGTTGTGTTGATGAATGTGTGCAAGTCCTGTGCACTTGCGGGCGCACGATGCATTGCAGCTGCAGCCCTTCAGACGCACCGTGCAATCACACGCCGAACTGGCAGAAGCATGCTCTCGGCAAGGCCCCCGACACATTGATAGTATGGCTGCTGATTCACTTGAATGCAGGAAATTGCGTTGGCAAACATGCCAGGGCCTGCAAAAAGCTGCCGGGCCAAGCCAGCGGCAAAGGGTTCATCCAGACCAGATGGGTTCTGCCTGCGCTAGGCGCTTGAAGTCACAATGACAAACATCTCGCTTACCCATGCAAACCTCGTCCTGACAGTTGGCTGCTGGCTCGCGAAAGTGGCTGCTTACAGGCTCGCGGAGCTACCGCATGTTACTCATGCCCCACAACCCACGAAAGGACAAGCAGGACACCGAAAAGGCGCCAAAACAGGCGCAGCTGCTCGAGGCAGAGAAGCCAACCTTGCACTACGGCATCCTGAGCCCTGCATAGCCCTGCCTGACGAGTCGGCAAAGGTCACTATCGATGTACTCAAAGATGTAGTACCTTGTGGACAAAAAACCGCTTGCTTTGCTTCTTGGATACTTCGTGCCCTCAATGTCACAGCGCAATGTCTGCTGTCCAGCAGCAGGCTTCCATCCAGCTGGTTGCGCAGCAGTTCTTTCAGCCGGACGATGAAAGGATGGCGCAACCTGGGCGCCACAGTTACCCAGCCATTTCATGAAGGAATGGCTCGAACAGAACAATTGGGAAGCTGGCTGTCTCAAAGCCGCCAGCTCTGTCGACTTGCATGCTTCATCCCAAGATTTGGCACCCAGCTTGATCTGCTTTACAGCCACCAACTCCTGTCACACAGTGCGCAGTGCACAGCTCCTGTCTCGAAGTGTACGATGCACAGGCTGTCACAGGGGCGCAAATCAGAAATCACTAAATCACTGATGTCCTCTGTCTTCTTGTGTTTTGCCTTGTAGACTTTTCCAAATGCTCCCTCACCCAAGCGCTCCAAGACATCATAGTCCTCGCAGCACGAAAAAGGAATCAGAGGACACAAGAGACACACTGGGTCAGACGACGGTCGCGCACGAAGGCTGCATCATTGCATCATGGCATCGAAGCGCGGCAGGGCTGGCAAGCAGCGTCAAAGCCCATCAAACCGTTGCTGCGAAAGGTCCTTCTCTATGGCCATCTATATGGCCATTGGTAGAACTTCAGCTGCCTCCACGCCTTTCTGTCTCAACTGCCCACTACACCAGCATGTGGTTTTGTTTTCAACTGCCCACTACACCAACATGTGCCATATGAGTCCTTTCCCTAATTTCGGAGCTGCAGAAACAAGCGATAGCGAGCGTGCAACGGGCCTCCTCGCAGAAGTGGGCTGCACCGGAGCACTCCTCACCCTCCCAAAACCCTCCCTGCCACTCAGAGCATTGGAGCCAAGAGGTATCGCTGCGACGTTGTGCGTTGACTAGCACATGCTAACACCAGCTGCACCACCAAAAAGTGTTCTCAAAGTGCTCAAGGACAACCACTTTGGGAGTACTCTCGACATACACATGGCAGCTCATCGGCATTGTCGCGCAACATGGGGCGCTGCAGAATGCTGCAGACACCTTTAGCATCCTTAGCTTAGCAACCTTGGCGGAGCCTCCAAACCAGCACCGGCCCCAGACAGCGTCCGCAACCTTGCGGTGAATTGCAGCGGGAGAGGGAGAGGGGGAGAGAGAGGGGGAGAGAGCGGGGGAGAGAGAGGGGGAGAGGGGGAGAGGTGACACACGTGCCAAGCCAAAGCTGACGACGGTGAGGGGTTGACGCATACTCAGGGCTCACTCCACTGATGACTCAGGCTGGCACATGACAACCTGAAGAAGGAAGAGCTTCTCTAGACTGCTTATGCTGCATGGAGGAAAGAATGTTGTCAGCGAGCGTCTGCGTGTGCAAACCAACACATGTACGGCACGAGCACTCCTGGAAACTCAGGCAGTAGCCGAGACCTCACCTGTCTGCGGATTCAATTCCTCAATGCCGACACGGTCCGTACACTTGATCCACTCGGCTGGCTGATCTTGAGACACAATATGCCCCAGGCGGGTGACAAGGCAACTGGTCGAAACTCCAGGCCTGTGTAGGATGTCCCAAGCATGAAGCCACGCCATCACAAAGGTGCAGGTCGGAGCGCACGTGACCAAAAACGCAGGAGCTGCCCAGTGAGGCCTAAGAATGACAAAGGCGGCACCTGCTCTGAGCTCCACCAACAGCACCGACATAGTGACATAGTGAGGCGACGGCCGAAAGATGCACCCAGCCAGGCACATCTTGGCAGCGCCAAAGGTCCTCAAGTTGGTCGTGCAGCCATTGGAGATCGTTGGACCGAACGAAACACCAAGAGCAAACTGCCGTAACTGTGCAAAGAAAAATATCTTGGAGAGGCTGGGGACAGGCGCTCAAGAAGGCTTCGGCTTCGTCCTCCGAGCTCAATGCCTCGCAGCTTGCACTCGTTTGTTCGAGTTTCTGATGCCCAATTGTGCCCAAAGGTCTCCTACCGGTCAAAGAAAGCCCGACCTCGGGCATGCCTGGATTGTTGAGATGCATCAGAAGCTGATTCATGGCTTGGCCTGCAAGACTGCAAGACTAGCCATGCAATTCACGCCTCATCTCGTCTCTAAGCCATTCTGAGACTCACACTCCCAAAGCCCTTTCCACGGAGACGTGGATCACAAACAATGCGCGCCACACGCAAACCTTCCCAAAGGAAGATACAGCACCAGGTGCTGTGCAAGGCAGCATATGGCAGCATGCTTTTCGAAGCGCAAGCCCCTCCAACCAGTGCACTTTCAAGCCTGCGGGCATTGGTTAAAAGATTGTACATCGGGGATGTGCCTCCGCTACATGTTACCTGGACTTTGCAAAGTTAGGAGCAAAGAACCATACCGGCCAGGCTAGGTGCTGCTAGGTACCCAAACTCGCCTCGGACCATGCCAAGGCTGAACTCCGGGAAGTCCTGAAGGCTTTTCCGAACAAGCGCGAGCTTCAAAACGCTACCTGACAGTCCTGTTCCAAACAGAATGTTGTCAAGTGCGATCGCGACAGGCGGCTAGACCTGAGAACACTCAAATCGGCCAAGTTCTCGCGCAATCAGCAGCACACTTTGAAGACGTTGACCCCTCCGGCTCACCGAAGCCCGGCATGCGATGGAATCAGAAGATGAAGGAACATGAAGGAAGATGAAGGAAGGTGAAGGAAGGTGAAGGAAGGTGAAGGAAGGTGAAGGAAGGTGAAGGAAGGTGAAGGAAGGTGAGGGGAGATCATTACCCACTAGTAAAAATCCACTACTCACTAGTGGACATCCCACTACCCACTAGTGGAAATCCCACTACCCACTAGTGGACATCCCACTACTCAATTAGTACATCGAATACATCAACCAACTATCGGCCACATGGCTCATGCTGAGCGATTCACCCACGATCGCCTGTCAGCAGCCTCAACAGAATCTGCAAGTTCGATTCTTCACCACAACCTGGCAGTTTGAAAGACAAGCGCAAAAGCCTAGCCAAAGCCAAGCAAAGGCCTGGCATCTCAGGCTTGGGCTCAGGAGCTTCGAGGATGCAAACTAAGACCTTCGAGCTGCCAGACTTCTCAGATGCGCAGACGCTGCCGCTAAGCTCACTACACGAGCTGGTCGCTCGCATGTGCACAGCAGAAGCAGATTGGGCATCGGCAACAAGTGGCACACGTTGCTGTCCTGATTCCATGTGGAGCACGACCACAAAATGCAGCAACCGGCTAGCTGAAGCTCTAGCCAAAACTGCACTCAACACACATCCTTCTGCTGCATTGGGAACAAGAACCATGGGATGCATGTACCTCGCAAGAGCTTGCCCCCCTTCTCCCTCCTCCCCAAAAAAAAGCAAAAAGCGCGAAACAGCACGTGACAAACACCGCAGGCAGGGAGAGCACTCTTGCACCAGAATGTTTGTCACGTCACTTGCTGATGTGCGGTAGTGCCTGAGAAAACTCTCCGATACCTGGAAGAGATTGAAAGCATGAGCAGAAAGACTTGGCACGCGGCGTCTGCAGAAGGGCCGACACGGCTTTGGCAAAAGCCTTGTCTGTGAAGAAACTGTGGGCTTCACAATCATTCACAGCACAGCAAGTTCGGGACGCGACACCATGGCCCGAAACCATCGCCTCAGGAGACACACGCGTTCATACACCACATCGAGATGCTCATCCCGCTGCGGCTGCGACTGAAGTGTCAAGCGCCCACAGCTGCGTGTTGTGCGGATCTGAGGCGGGCTGCATTCATGAGCTGCACTTACCACCATGTGCATTCAAGCATGGAGCGACGTCGAGGGGAGCCCTGACGGGAGCCCTTAGCCGCCTTAGCCCTCAGCCACCTGCAACTCAAAGCAAGACCGTGCCCCAAGCCACTGCACATTCCGAGATCGTGAAGTGGAACATCCTGATCAGCACAAACCCGCCGAGCAAGTATGGTGCCAAAACCGCCTTTCAACCACAACATCTTTGCCAGGGCATCTGCGGCACCCGCCCCCAGGAACAGCAAAGATTCCTTACTAGGCCGAGGTTCTTGGGATATCGAGGTCGCAAGCCCACGATCAATGGCTCGGCATTCCACTCTGCATTCCATGAGGAGCCGGCCAACCACGCTTCTACTGGACATCCGTGCCCATATCGCACTGGTTCCTGAAAGACTCGCTCAATAGTCATCTACAGCGAGGCAAACAAAAAATCAAAAAACACTGCCAACCCACGGGTCGTCCTCCAACAGAAGCCGGGTTTGCTTCGTCAGCCCTACAAGAACAAAAGACTTGGATATATGTTGCTATTTTCTTTGTGCATGCACATAGGAGTGACAATGAAGGAGCTAGGAGCCGCCCTGACTCTTAGCATCATGCAAGACAATACGAATACAAGCTCGTAGCAAAAAATTTTCACAGCGCCTTTTCCGCCCGCTTTGGCTGCACCGTCATTCAGCAGGATTTTCCTCACAAGGAATGATTCCCACACTCGCCGTCTCAGAACTGAGAATGCAGAGCGACAAAGGACCAGGGACACCAGCCACTCGATTGCGCAGCCAGTGCCCTCGCAGCTCGAGGTTGTGCCGGCCTTGGCACTACTGCAATTGCAGGCACCAGGCTACTGTCAGCATCGAGCCTCAGACACGGTACCGCTGTCAGCATGAAGGGCGTGCATTTGATCTGAGGCTGGCCGCCAAAACCATTGCCTTTGCAGGTGCAGACCTCAGCCATAGCACCACAAATTCACCTCAAAGGCCGAATTTAGCAACCTGCCTCAAAAAAGCGCTCGGCTACACTTAGGCGCATGCAAGGCGTGCATCCTCAACCGTAAATGGGGCTAGCTGCGTAGGATAGAAGGGCTTCCGAAAAGTACAAAGGAAACGCTATCTTTTCCTGTAGGCTTTTCACGGCATCAGGCTCTTGATGTGGCTTTGGATGTTGCAGCGTGAGATGTTTGGAAGGATCAGCAACCTGCCCTGTGGTGGCCACGAGTGCTGCTAGGCAACACCCACTTCACTTCAAGGACGCGACGCAAGAGATTTGTAGGTTGTGATCGGCACAGTGGCCACCTGCCAGACTCCGTGCAAGAATCCCGGCAGCGTGTACTGCACCAGCAACATGTTAGAAGCAGGTCAATCCCACGGAAAGGCTTGAAGCAAACCTGAATCTTGCACTACGGGGCTGATGTTGAATTTACTTATGAGGCCGGCTTTTGCATGCTCATGCACCGTCCTGCGTACTATCTGCAAGAGGTGCTCGGCTACACATCACTCTACCTTGTTCAAACGTTCCCAGAGCCTTGGCTGCTGCTTTCGTGCCATGAGTCTGAAACTTAAAGCAATGAGAGACTGGGCGAAAGCTCAGGCACAGCCGAGCAAAGGGTAGGCTGTGCCAGGGCTTCCTCCAAGCTCCGGCATCTCCAACACGTGTTTTTTCTAGGCCCTTAGGCTTTTGAGGGCTCTACTCTTTTACTCCTGTCTGTAGAGACTTATCCAAGTTGCTCCACCTGCCTCGTCCACCACGAGGAGAACACGTTGACCCGTAGCAGAGAAGGCAGACAGCCTCTGCATGCGTTTGTTGAATGCGGTCCCTCTGTCTGTTGCAGGCAGGCAGGCAGGCAGGCAACCTATCTACTTCTGAAGGCTACGGCGCATGCGAGGCAGAGGCCGCTCCCAACTTCAAGAATGGGTTCACAAAGTGGAATGTCTTGACTCCGGCATCTTCATGCCACGAAAGCTGGAAAGACCGCCCGGGGGCTTAGTGGTCGCGAAATGTCTATATACATGTCCAGCTGCACGCCCAGCCTCCAAAAGCGATGTGTTCTACAATGGCTCGGCTGCACCGAGCACCAGCTCACTAGCAGTCACTGGCATGTGCCAACCCAACTTGTCTTCCAGGGTCCTTCGACGGTGCCTGTTCGAAGAGGGGTTCTAGAGCTGTACCGAAAAATTAACACATGCCAGCCGCACAAGATAGAGAAAAAACAATGGACCATGACCAATGTCACGGCCAGCGAACAAGTCGATGTATAAAAATCCTGAAAAATTCTTGTCATCCAGTCTCAGCAATGCACGAAGTCGCCCTGAGCTTCAACATTCTCACGCGCTCTTCGAAGCATCTCAACGCACAAGATGTTGCCAGCTGAGCACTCTATTGTGTCATCTTGTACCTATGGCATCTATGGCCTCTGACTTCAGCACTGCAGAGAACCTCCATCATGCGCAGGCGCACCTTTTGCACAAGCTGGTTCGGAGGTAGTTAAACAGTTAAACCCCTCAGGCCTCTTTTAACAACCAAAAGCTACAAGCCAGACTCCCAACCTTAGAAGCAGACTGTCCCGCTATCATGCAAGGTCGATTTCGCAACTGGCCTCGGCAGATCTTCTCGCCCGCGCGATGTTGGAACGAACCTGTGAAGTCCTCTTGCTTTCCAGCAAAATCGGCCACATCTACCGGACAGTCCACCTGTAAATGAAATGTCAAGCGCTGCCAACTGTTACCAATCAGGGAGGTGATAAAGCTTCAGAAACTCAGCTCTCAGTCCACACAAATTTGTCCGGAAGCTGCGCTACCTTCATGTTCAATGTTCTGGCTAAGATGTCAGGACCGAGAACGGTTCAGAAGTCATGCACGCTAACTGGAATGGTCCAGGCACTGCACATTGCTCAACAGATATCATACTGAACAAGGTGAAAAATCCAAGGACAATGTGCAGACGGTGCATACCTTGAATTGGTGCTTCGGCAGCGGTGAACGGTGAACAGTCGCCGCAAATCGCTGTGCTCTACAAAAGGCCTACACATGGCCTGCACATGAGTCACGTGAGTCACGTGAGTCACGTGAGTCACATGACTCTGCCTGAGGTCCTGCCCTCCATGCCTTCTGCACCTTCGGTGTTCTGATCCTGGCCTTCAACTTGGCCATCTTGGCCACGTTCATTGCGATCTGCCCTGACCACAACAGGGGAGGGCTGCATCCGTGCCACGGTCACCGGCACGGTGCCCTCGACAGAAAGCTTGGATGACAGCTTCCTGCAAAGTGCGGGAGAGTGACAAGCTTTCGCTGCGCAGGAGATGAGATGCAGATTCTCGGGGTCTCATGATGAGCGACAAGTCCTCAAAAGCTGAACGTTTGGCAGCTCCACGTTGAGCGCGCCAAGGCTCCCATGCTGCCTGACAGCTGACCAAGCTCAGCTGTAGCTACGAGTACCAAGCATTGACCAGCTGTCAAAGCTCGACGAATGACGTGCCTCGCGTGCATGGCTTCGCAGGCAAGAGGTGCGTAGCAGTCGCGGCTGTGGCTACTAGTACAATTGGGGACCATGGGCGGCTGCGAGCACATCTCCGAAGCTTGACATCGCATGAGCTAGCTCGCACAACAAAAAACTACAAACGTAATCACTTGGATGCCCACAGCGGGGGCACGGTCTCAGCCCTGACCACCAGGACTTGGACGGCACTTCTTCGACCTCATGGACTGGCAACTACGCGCACTCGCAACTTCCAGTGGATGCTCCGGCTTCGTCTGCTTCTAGATTGGTGTTGCAGGCCATCTGGATGGGCTACATGAGTTGCACAGTGCTTGTCTTTGGGCATGCAGGGGCTGACAGGTCAAGTACGTTGTCGTCGAAGAACGTCCTGCAAGGCCACATCCCTGCTCTTGCGAGTGGGCGCATGTTCCTAGTGCTGTTCGAGCACGAGCCGGACTTAGCGTTCTTCAGACTTCCAGAACTCCGATGTACATGCGCACACACACAGGAAAAAAATGGACGCGCACAAACCCTGCATGATTCGTGCGACGGCGTGATGCAATGCTCCCGGATAGGCTGCGGTGATGCTGGGGCTCGAACATGAATCCGGCCCATCAAGCCTCAGAGATACAGAACCCTGGCCAGGACATACTGCCAAACAACTCCATCATTGTTGTTAGGTCAAGCGGCGTCGCGCAGAATGAACCATCAGAACCCAAAGTAGCCCAGCCTCGCATCTTTCAGACGTCACCAGTGCTTTGGTACCCTGAGCAGGCCTATGCCGAGAGCTTGCAGTCCTCGACCTAAGCAGGCGGCAAGAAGCAGTTGGCTTCGAGTTGCCAGGTGGTCCCCTGAGCATCGGGCGGCATGACAGTAGCAATTCAGCTACCTCAGCAGTGCACCCAAACTAGCTGAGCATGACGGCATGTGCTACACTGCTACATGACGAGGCATCCTTGAGCATGCGACGTTCTCAGGGGATGGGGCAGCAACGACCACAGATGTAAAATCACACCTGTAGACAACAAAACGCTCATTTCGGATTTAGAGACTATCCTCCAGCGCCTGGCAAC